GGGGGGGGGGGGGGGGGGGGGGGGGGGAGTTTGCTAGAAATGAGAGGGAAATGCTGTATTGCAAAGAACTTAAGAACATTTTGAAGCTGTGTTGTGCTGAGTCGGTCATTAATCCATATAGCAATGGACTAATATCACATCCTTCCTTCATAAAATATTTAATTAGGGACTACATTCAAGGAAATACTGGGGGGAGTAGGTGTGTGGATTTTGGGTTCTTCCGATGGCAAAAGATCTCTTAATACATGGCAGTGTTGCACACAAGTTTAGAATGTCTCTGTATTGTGTATCTATCCTCCCCTCTTTCTGAAACGTATTATGAGATTCTTTTTCTCCTTGACATTAACTTTGTAGTTTCTCAACCATCCCCAGCTTTCAGCAATGATCAATGACCGGGATGAGGACACTTTGAGCTATATGACCAATCTGCAGGTGATTTCAACAAAGCTGGTGCTTAGGAACTAACTCAGAATCAAATTTATCAATGAAACCAATTAAATTGCTTTTGAAATTTCTGGGTTCTTTCCACTTGAAAGTCCCTATCCTGGGTCAAGGGTGGTGATAAACAGTACCTTGCTACTCTGTTGATGCAGGCTTTCACAGCCAGTGTCAATCCAGTGGTGATGAGCTCCCAGGCTAATAGGCTGTAGTGTAATTATTTGGTATCCTGACATTTTGCCAGCAACTGTGGCTAGCATCTTCAGAGGTGGAAGTGATCTGCTCTATAGCATACTTCTTGGCAGTACCTTGCTAGTGTTATGATTATGACATTCTTTGATACATAGGTTGTGGATTTCACCCATGCAAAGTCAGGCTGCAAGATCAAGTTCTACTTCAGCAGCAATCCCTATTTCCAGAATGAGGTCATTGTGAAGGAGTTCCAGTGTGGTTCCTCTGGTATGCAATAGGGGACAGTGTTTTGAGGGAGCAAAGGTCAGATTTGACATGCACTTGTTTACACCTGTGTGGTTGTTCCCCTTCCTTTCCAGGGAGGTTAGTTTCCCATTCTACACCAATTCGCTGGTGGCGTGGCCAGGACCCATTAGCTCATGGCCGGAAGAACTTTGAAATGGGCCGCAGCTTCTTCAGTTGGTTCTGTGACCATAGCTTTCCTGCAGGAGATCGCATTGCTGAGGTGGGACTATACTGCATACCAGTGATGAGAACTTGCTCTCCAAATGTTGCTCAAGCCTCAGCGTCCACTACTGTTAGCAATGATGGGTGGAACTGCTTGGAGTGGTAGTTTAACAACACCTGGAGGGCCACAAATTCTAAACTGTTCGTTGCATCCTTATGCCCTTATACCTGTTACTCTTTTCTCTAGATCATTAAAGAAGACCTGTGGCCCAATCCACTTCAATACTACCTGATGGGGGAAGGTGGTGAAAATGGTGAAGAAGACAGGTAAGAATGCAGGCAGTTTCTTGGTTCCTTATTATGGAGATTATGGTATGAGTGATATTTTTGGCAAGAATCTAAGCCTGCCATTGTGTGTGGATATAGATTTTGTCTAGGTTTGTGGCAGCAGGACGTAGCAGGAGAGAACTAAAGAGACGTAGGAGGAGTGGACTTCATGAAGACAGGGCTTCGTGTATACAGCTGGGAAGCCAGCAGAAGATGATGGATAAATGGTGATACACTCCCTCCCTCCTTCCCTTGTGTGTTTAGTGAGACAGAGAATGGTGATGACTTTGTTGTGATTGTGGATGATGATGGTGAAGACGAGGAGGAAGAGGAGGTGGCAGATGTCCATGAGATTATAGATGAAGAGGAGAGTGGGCGAGGTAAGTAATGATGAAATATAGCTGCTCCCAATAAAAAAATATAGCCTTTGGATCTGAAATGCAGAATAATTGTGAGCTGCCCAGAGTTTGGTACAAGATGGGAGGCTATATAAATGTTTTAAATAAATAAATAAATGCTGATACTTTATATGCTGTTCATTCCTAAAGGCTTTGAGCAGCTAACAGTCAGAGACATCATAAAAGGAACTCCTCAATAAAAGTAATAAATTCACAGAAAAAGAACAATCTCAACACCATAAAAAAGGATGAGAAAAACATATAAAATCATATGCCCACCAATGCATCCCTCTATTCAAAGCACATCTTCCTCCTGGGCTAGGTGGAAAAGCTGGATCTTAATGATTCTCCTGAAACCCAGAAGGAAGGGAGAGACCAGATCTCTGTAGGCAAGGAATTCTAAAGCATGGGGGCAGTGACTGAAAATGCCCATTTGCTAGGTTGCATCAAATGGCAATCTCAAATAGACAGGACCTGGAGGAAATTAACTCTGTTCTATCTGATCATGCGGGCAGATGAATAGGAGAAGGCGGTCCCAGGTCTGGAGTAACATAGGTCTTAAAGGTAACAACCAGCACCTTGAATCCTACCCAGAAGCCAATTGGCAGCCAATGTAGATCCTGAAGCAGTGGTGTCACCCAGGTATAATGAGAAATAACTATCACTGCCCAGGTTGCTGCATTTTGCAGCAGCAGTAGCTTTCAAATGCTTTTCAACGCAGCCTCATGTAGAGTGTATTACAGTAATCCAAAGGAGAGGTGACTGGGGCATGAGTGACAGTGAACAGAGCTTCCTGATCTAGGAATAGTTGTAATTGATGGAAAAACCCTTCCAATCATAGCTGCCACCTGCTCCTTGGCCAGAAGCTTGTGAGGCCAGTAGGACCACCAAGTTGCCCACTAACCTCTGAGCAGGGAAGCATAATCCTGTTCAGAGCCAATGATGGTGTTGTCCTGAAATCATTGGCCCATGGGCCCAAAGCTGCTCCATCTATGAGGAATTCAGTTTGAGTCTGTTCCTTCTCTGACAAACTCTAAGCACTGACTCAGCACTTCGATTACATTACCTGTTTGGCATAAACCTAAGATACATAACTAATCAACATAGATACCTGATCTCCTTTCAACAGATGACCTCTCCCAGCAGTTTCATGTAGATCTTAAAGAAAGTGGTAAGAGTAGAGCGCTTGGGGTGCTTCACAGAGGAGAGATCTCCAAGCAGATCTCTCTTTCTCCCGTCCCACTGACTGAAACTAATCATGTTAGGAAAAAGAAGAACCACTGAAGAGCAGAGCCTCCCCACCTGACCCCCCAATCCCTCAGAGCCAGTCCAGAAGTATACCATGGTTAATGGTATCAAAAGCCACTGAGAGGTCAAGGAGGATCAGGAAGTTGTCCTCCTCCAGTCCCAGTCTATTCAAAGGTCATCAGTAAATGCAACCACTGCAGTTTCATGCTGAATCCTGGTCTGAAACTCAACTGCCATGGATCCAGATAATCCATTTCCTCTAGGTTCTTTTGAAGTTGCAGTGCTACATTTTGCAGGGCAGGGCTTGCAAAATTAAATACTGGAAATGTGGGCAAAGGAGTATTATTTGTTAGGTTCAAGTATTGACGTATCTTATTTACTAATGCAGGTGAAGTTGTGGAAGAGGTATTAAGTGGCCAAGAAGATGATATTGCTGGATCCAAGTCCTCCCGAGAGGAACCAGATGGGAAGGATTCTGAGGTGGAAGAAGATGGCTAGATTAGCTTATGAAAGAACAGTGTGTCTGGTTGGACTTTCCCATAGGGACCTCAGTGGCACTTTGATGCTGACCAATTGCACTTGGACATGGCAAAAGATGATGGGGTGTATCAGCAGCGGTCACATAGGTTATTTTGTATCTTTATTTATTGTATTGACTGCATTTCTCTCTCTGGCCTCTTGGGGGCACTATGTGCAAGCACCCCCTTAATTGTTTGATGCTTAGCATCTCCTCCTACCTGCCTGCGTGGGGGCTATACGCTTACTTGTCCTGTCCCCTGGTGGCTACTCAGGGTATTGTCTGCCCAGAGGCCTTTTAAAACAGCTCAGGGTTTCCTTCTTCCATTCAGCATTATTAAGCTGCTGGCTTTTCGCACCTTCCCTTTACTTCTGCTTATAAGGATTCTACTCCCCCTGTAGGTATTTTAGCTTTAGTAAGCCTGCTAGCAGCCAGCCAGTGCCTCATGCCATGAAAACATAATCCCAGCCTTGCTTTTCCCACATTGAGAGTAGGGCCTAACTATTTGGGACTCATCCATTGCCACTGCAGGGCTATGCCATTTTAATTGGGTTTATGATAGCCCCTATTGATCTAAATGGCAACCTTGCACCCATTGGCTTAGCTGAAGCAATAATAGCTCTCTGGTTGCACAGTATTTTCCTTGGGGTTGCTAATGCAAGGAAAAGGGCTATGGTGGTGGCTTATTCTTGTGTTTGGTGCTTCCTCTAATGCTCCAGTACATGAAAGTGATGGCAAAATGTTTCTAGCAACAGCGTGTTATTGAGGTATATGTGATTTTATGCCCCCGTGTACTTTATGTATAACTGCAGACAATTTCCTAGCAATGTTCCTAAAGCATCATACCCAGTTGGATCTGCCCCATCCCCTACACCCCACAGAGGCTGTTCTATGCAATGCTACTGATATTTGTAGAAAGGCAACCATTTTCCTTGGCTGATTTTTTTGTATATTTCGTATCAGGACTTTGTACTTTTTTTTACTATAAAAAAAAAGCACTTAACATACAGAGAGCTTTCCAATTCGGTGTGTGGCTCCTTTTTTTTGGACATCTAAAGTCTCATATTCTGTGCTCAGAATGCATGTCTAAATGAGGGTATGCAAACAGACAAGTTACATATGCTTTGCTCTGTAACGGAGTTCTCAGTGTTCAGGAGAACAGGCATGAAGTAAATAGTGAAGGAAGGATGTGAGTGATGATAGAAAGAGTAAACTGAATATGATATTTTGCATTACAAATTGTCCTCGCTTAGTGATCACAATTGAGATCAGCAACTCTGTTGCTAAGTGACATGGTCACTAAGTGAAACGTGTGACTGTGATGGACTTATGATGTCACTTTCTGTTCGGTTGTTTGGCGAGTCAACATGGGTTGTTATGAATGGCCGCATCATGTCACCATGATTTGCGATTTTACTGCCAGCTTCTCCATTGACTCTGCTTGTCAGAAGGCAGTTATGAAGCGTGCAAATGGCGATCATATGACCGTGGGATGCTGCAACAGTTGTAAATGCCCACCGGGTGTGAAACACCCACATTTTGATCATGTGACTGCAGGCACACTGCGATGGCCATAAATGCAAGGACTGGTCGTAAAATTACTTTTACGAAGCACTGTTGTAGCTTCGAACAGTTGCTAAACAGGGCAGTCGTTAAGCAAGAAATTTCTTCTCTGAGCTATTGGTGCCACATGCTGATACATTTCTACAATTCAAACCTAAGCTTCTCAAAAATCTAAAACATCAGATTTTAAACTGTTAGAATTGTAGAATACCAGTAACCCTTATAGTAAAAACCAGTAAATTCTAGAACAGTACTTTTTTTCTTAGCAATATTCATTGAGAAATCCTTTCCTCGTGTAAAAAGCCTGGATCTGATATCTTAGAAATTGTTCAGTTTAGCGTTTTTATAGAGTAAACTGCATTTAGCGTGTTTAGGGGAGGGGGAAACAGTGCAACCATTCTAGAGCACCAGACTGTAAACATGCTCTTTTGATGTGTGGAGATAAATTCATTAGGATGAATTATTCTAACTTGAACTTCTCATAGAGATGCTAGTATTTGAAGTATAGGAGAAGGTTGATATTGGGAAGCATTTAAACATGCAGTCCTTTCCCCATGTTCTGAAATGATGCCGCCTTGGAAAGACAGTTCCATTGGATTTTTATCCTCAGCTGAAGATATGTAATACCGCCTGAAAAATGCAGCTGACTGCTTTTGAAAATTCATAAATTTGTTATAAGGCAAAATAATAAACTTACTCCTTTCCACAGTTTGATGCACACGTTTCCCATTTGAGGGGTTTAGTCTTTTATAATTTCTGTTAGCCAGTTAATCCTATCTATGAATACAGAAGTTTTGTTTTAAAGTATGTGGGTTAGAGTTTCATAGCTAGTGAATAATTAAGCGCATTTACTATTGACACATCCTGTTCTCTAACATTGATTTATCTCATTTTAACTTTACACACACACACACACATACAATGACTAGAAAAAACTATTTACTCCTCTGTCAGTGATAGATGCTGCAACCCACCCAATTCAAATTTAGCAGCTGTCATTCATACATTTGTATTCCTGAAATTTGTTGTATAGAGCAAACGCATTGTAAATGAAAGCTGCAACTCTCACACTACTTCATTAATGATTTGGGTTATATCTATAGATTTTGCCAATTGCTAATACCCAGAGATAGAGACTTAAGTAGATATTCTTGTTTCTACTTCTCATTAAGCTAGAGAGTTTGATGGGATAGGAGAATGAAATGGGGCGTAACAGTAACTCAGTCCAGCACAAATGGCAACTTAAAGCAAGCTGGAAAGAAGCTGTTTCCCACATTGCTAGTGAGGTAATAAAGTGCATTATTCTTCTGGATTGGATACTTTATTGCGATCCAGATTGAAATTTGTAAACCCCAACCAATGATTTTATTTGTGGTCTTCTATATAAGTTGCACATAAGTAACATTAGGGACAAATACTGATTTTCCAGAATCAAAGGAGTGCTTTGAATTTCCATCCATACTTTCTGCCCTTTTTATATTCTTTCACAGACATCGGCATAACTAATCCTGTATGTCAGCAACTTTGACCATGGATTTTTTTCTTTTGATGTGGTAAATTTGTACCCGGCAAACTGATAACTGAATTGCTGATCTTAACACAACCTGGTAATTTCAGGAACCAGCCTTAGTCACTCTCTACTGCCCTCCTTCCAATTGAGCAAATTAGACAGTGAATATTGTTAGTACATAATTTTACAAGGAGGCATAAAGCAAAACAAGAAATGCTGATTTAGGTTTACAGTATGTTAAAAAGATATCTCAATATAAATTTTTCATAAAGTTTTACACCATCCTTCCCAAATCATGAATTCCCATAATTCCAAAATGGCATGTTGAATTTCACCTTTTATACTTCCTCACATAGCTGGAAGATATCAGAATGGGGAACATTCTTTATAAATTATGCTTCAGTAGATCTGAATTTGCTATTAAGAACATGCTTGACATCTATAGGTAATCCTCACTCCTTGATGTGCGAAGGTAAAGTGGGTGTACAAATGCATGCTCACATGACAAGTAATAGGGCCACCTAAAATATATTAAAAGAGGTCATGGCTCCCACGTTAACTTTAGCCATAAGCTTATTAGACATTAATATTGCTGAGAAAAATAATAGTTAAATGGAAACATTTATATAGCTCTAATCCTGGGTTTTCCCTCGTGGACAGTGACTTTCAGTTTCCTGGTGACTTTTTTGGACATGTCTGTGTAGTTTTCTTAGCAACAATATACCAGTAGATTGCCACTGACTTCTTCCAGGGTATTTTTCGACTTTCTAGTCTAGCTTGATGGTCTCCCACCCAAATACCTAACCGCTCCGGATCCGCATAGCTTTCCAGTGTCGATCAAACTAGGATAGGATAGGATTCAGTCATCATCATAACCAACCACCTGTTTCTTTCAGAATTCTTCAGGTCTGTAATTGTACACACGCTGAGGGCGCGATTGAGCTTAGCTGAATGCAGTCGCAACCCTCTTTTGAGGAGCACGCTTGCAACGAACAGCGTCGTATGCTTTCTATTTAAGACTGCAATCCGACGTCCTGAACTAGGATAAATTCAGCCCTTTTACCAGTTGCATTAACGAATTAGAGGTTCCTCATCGGGATCTGTCCCGGCATAAACAGTTGTGGATAAAACTAAACAAGAACAGGTTTCTTTGGACAGAAGTAGGATTAGTGCAATTCCAACCGTGAGGACTTCCGTGCACTCGCGTCGCGTCTCACCGCAACCGCTGCACGTACCTCTTTCCCATCAAGCAGCCTCTACCTCCACTTCCGCCCCCTCCTCCCCAGGAGGCGGAGCTTCAAAGGTTGACCCTTCGCAGAGCAGCATGGCGGCGGCCTTGAGGAGCGTGAAGGTAATAAATAGGCAATGCCGTCTGGGACGCCGCGACGGGACTCAGGGGGCGGGGAGGGGACATCCGCGTTGATGCCAAGAAAGAGCCCATTCTGTCCGCGATGGCGAACGAGAAAGTGGGTGAGACGCCCCCACTCCCACCATCATCGAGTAGGGAGACGGACCAGAGGGACCAATTTCCCGGCAGGGGCCAGCGGAAAGAAGGATCTGACCAATACATTCCATTTTAGAACCCGCGCAAGTAATGACCGTAAGAAACAATGTAGTAGTAGTAGCAGCATTTTTGTTTGTACGTACCGGTAAGTGCAGTACAATCAAAGCAAATGTAATGTAGCGTAGACCAGTTTCAGCAGTACAATAATTGAAAACATTTTTCTAATCTAGCACAACTGTAATGTTAATCAGAATCAAATCCTGCCACTGCCAAGAAGTGTTTTTTCAGCTGATCATATATTTGGTAAACATATGGAAGAAACCACCTTCTCTTCTGATACATTTCTGAAGGTGATGTGAGTTTCTCTTCCTTTAACTGCTGCGTGGCAGGCTGAACAAATGCAACAAGTGCAGCCTTTTTCCCAACACAGGTTATGGGATTAGTTTCTGCCTCTCACACAGTTGTCTGAGACAGAGGAGCTTTGCTGGGAAAATGATCATTTTACAAACTGACCACCTCTCTTATTCCCCTGTCCAGGATGAAACTGCTTTGCAGTTATAGTTACAGTTGCTGCCTGGAGAAAAAAATCCAGGAGTGGGTGGGGTGGATGGGAGGGAGTGGGGGGAGAGCTATTACTGCTGTTGTGTGTCTCTAAAGCAGAGGAACCAAGTAGAAGAAAGCAGACATTTTTCTTTGGAAAATACTGGGCTGCCTTTTAAACTGAGGAAAGTCTGGAGGCACGTACATAGCTATACAAAACATGGGATTGTTATTGCATTACCAGGGTTACTGCCTGTCAAGTGGCCGAAGTTTCCAAGTCTGTGGTTTGGGTGATCAACCAGTAGGCTTGCTTAACCTCCCAGCCCATATGCCTGAGGGAACAGCAGGGTCCTTAATGCCTTGAAAAAGGCCAGTAGCTAGTGGTGTGTTGTGTAGCCCAGTGCAATGCGGTGAAGTAAGGTTACCTCCTGTTCCTCTCAGGTTTGCTGCAAATCACAATCTGTTTTGATTCTTGTAGAGTGTAAAATATGGTGTTTTTGTCATTGTAGGCTGAATTTATGACTAAAGCAGTAATGAAATACTTTTGTCAAACGAAATTTCTTTTCTAATCCAAAAACCACCAGAAATGGACTATTACTGCAAATCCCTAACCGCTTCAGATTTTTCTAATACTTTTCATCGGATGAAAAATGGTCAGCCCATGAATTGGCTTGAAAACAGAAAACATTTACCACTAGCTAATCTTAGCCTAATCCATTGGCACTCACTGCATTTCACAACCCAGTTCAAAGTGCTGGAAATGGTATTTAAAATGTCGATGTTAAAGATGGGAATAACAGAGAATCTGCTTATGTGTGCAGAGGATTATGCCCAATGATAATTGATGTAGACACTGATGTGTGGCTTGCAAAATGGAAGTGGTATCTGGAAATGTCACATGACCTCAGAAACCTTGGAGGCCCTATATTGTCCCAGACAGACTACTTACGTTTAATAGGTTTGTGCCAGGCACGTATAAAAAAGTAAAACTGAGTAGTCATATATAACATATTATTGCCATGACCACACTTTCCTTGTTCTTTGCATTTGAGCTAGATAAATAGATGGATGATAGATACAGAGAAACCTACTGAAGTTTGAAAACAACGGAGAAAAGTAATGAATGGATCAGTAAATTGGGGGAAGAGATTTACACCTAGTCTTTAGATGATGGTTTCAAATTCTAATGAGATGCATCTGTATCTATATCTAATCTATAGCTATAAGCTGTCTGTCTATTTCTAGAAAGAATAACACGGTTTTCTTTCTTTTTTGTAGAAGGGTTCTCTAAGTTTTCAGATCTTTCAACTAAAAAATAAGCAAGCCGCATCTTCCATAAAAGCAACACTGATGTGCTCTCACTCAAAAGTCACTCAAAGCTCCCTTTATTATCTTCTCATTCTTTGCGGCACTGCAGCCCATTTTAACTTCCTCTCCAGGATTTCAATATCCTATCCCTCGCAGCCAAAAAAAGGTATTGAAAGTCAGCAAACTCCAAAGCCCTGAATCTAACTCATTAATTCTGACTGATGATGGTTTTCAAAGAAGGCAAAATGAAAATAGTTCTTTGAGGTTGATTTGCTTTTTCAATATGGCTATAAATGCAGGAATTAAAATAGCAGTGCAGATAAAACAGATATTGTGATAAGTTAATTATTAAAAAGAAAAAATATATCTATCTCAGGAAGCTCAGAAGATAACATCCCTGATCTCTCAGTCTCCCAAGCTGAGTTGTGAACAGAAAGGAGGATATACTAAATCAGCATCACCATATCTTTCTTACATGGTACCAATTAATAATTAGTCCTATTGCCCTTCTTCTATCAATATTGAATATTTGGAACAAGTATGGGCTAACACAAACAACTTGTATGGTTAAATATTGATAATGAACATAAATCATAAATGTGATATCTATGGGGTAGGTTGAAAAGTCAAGATGATGGTTGGGGTGAGGCTTCAGTTGCATGGTTGTGGCTACCATCTTGACTTGTTTGACACCCGCCCCCCCCTGCAGACTAATCTGACTGTTGAGCTGGAACCTTCCATTTCAAATCATGTTTAGCCTTGGGTTTCAGATGGCTTAGTCAAAATTACATGGGATCCTGAAAAAAATGCAGCAGCATTAATAAGCTAACTCATTACAGTAGCCACTTCATTAATGTAACTCTTAAGGCATTGTGTTTTTTAAGCCTAGAAAATGACATGATTGTTTTAAAGAAGTTCTGCACTCACTCACATGCATTCTGAAGCTTCTCTTCTGAATCATTTTGAAAACATGTTTGGTCCTAATTTAATACCAGCATTCTAGGAATATATAAAGAAATGATTAAAATATTTTGCTGCATTTTCAGAGTAAGGTGGAAGTGATGCTGAGAGGTTTCAGGTTATTGTATTTACTGACCTATTCTTTAGCTGTTAAAAAAAGCTTTTTTCAATGTCTGGTGATAAAACATTTGCTATTATCACAGGGAATCTTTTACCAGATATGAAAAATTTCTGTAAGGCAATCTGATACGTGTCTGAACATTTTAATCCCAGTTTGTAAGATTCACTATGACTGGCTTATCAGTGGGGCATCTTGCATTATTGTTCTCATTGCTAATTTACTTTGATTCTTTTTCAGTGAATACATTTACGCATGAATCAATGTTCTTTGTGTGTGTTTCCTCAGAGGTCCATATCTGAAACTCTGGATAGATATTTTGACCTTTTTCAACCCACACTAATAAAAAATTCTCACTAGATTATGTATAATGTCCACGTGTGAACTAAAGGTTAAACGTATGTATTTGTGAATAGAGTGATAATCATATTGACTTACTGGAAATTTAGCTGTTGATGATTAGCAGTACATTTAAATGAAATTTCAAAGAAGCAAAATCATAGATTGGATCACCAGTCTGAAACATATTATGAAGAAAGTGGTGTGGTTTGGGAAAATAATTAATATCCAAAATAAAATATTTCTCCCACCGCTGTTGCCCTGCAACTGGTATTTAGAGGCATGCTGCCTTCAAAACTGAGGTAAGATTGAATCCCAAGACTAATAGCCCTTGACAGACACGTTCCATGCTTTCATGCAATCCCTTCATAAAGCTATCCAAGTTAGTGGCAAGTTAGGGTTATCTGAGGGGCTGCCTCTCCCTGATTACATCAGCCTGCCCCATTAGATTTGGCAGAGAGGGCATACTCCGAGTACCACCCGCCAGGGACTTATATTTGGTGGGTCCCAGGAGGTGGACCTTCTCTGCCATGGTGTCTTATGGAACATTCTCCCCCCTGAAGTTACATTAGCTCCATCCCTGCTAATGTTCCAGAAGTCCCTCAAGACCTGGTTATGTCATCAGGCTTGGGGGGTCCCAGGTAACATCTTAAGATGGCTCCGCTATTGATATCTTTACACTCTCCATGCCCATGGTTTGTATATCTTGCTTTTAATATATTTTAGTTTTAATAATTATTGTTTTATATTTTTATAATGATTGTATTTTAATTGTTTTTGATTGTCGTATGCCACCCAGGGTCATTTCCTGTGAGATGGGTGCCTATACAAATTTGATAAATAAATAAAAATAAATCTTCTCATTAATTTCTTTACCCACCAGGGCATGGTTGGCTTTGTGACTGGTGGGGCTTCTGGCCTGGGCCGTGCCACAGCGGAACGATTAGTACAACAGGGAGGCAGTGCTGTGATTGTGGACCTGCCAAAGTCTGATGGTGAGAGCGTGGCCAAGTCACTGGGAGACAGATGCATCTTTACTCCAGCTGATGTAAGGATCGTTTGATGGGAATGTTGAGATTTAAGGCTTTCTCTCTCCCCAGGTGAGAGTGGGGAGTACAATGTAGGAAAAGAGATGTAGCAGCAGACCTGGGTCATACTCTCAAAACTGTCTTTATTCAGGTGGTCTCAGAGTTAGATGTGAAGGCTGCACTGGCCACAGCGAAGGAGAAATTTGGACATATAGATATGGCAGTGAACTGTGCTGGGATTGCAGTGGCGTTCAAGACATACAATATGCATAAGGCTCATGCTCATAGTTTGGAGGACTTCCAAAGAGTTATCAATGTAAGTATATTGTGAGAAAAACACCATAGTTCATTATGCATTTGTTATTTGATCTTCTTCCAAGTACTTCCCATTTATGATGATTTTTTTATTTACATGGCTGCCCTAACAGTAAAAAACATCACACACATAATCAGCAGCTGAGGTAAAAACAGCAGCAGCGCAACCATTGCACGGTCTCTGCCACACGTTGGGATTCCCAAGCTCAGTGACAAAACCATGCCTTGCAAAAGGCAAGTAGGGTTGGGCCGACCTGATCTTTGGGGGGATGATGTTCCAAAGGGTGGGTGCCACAACAGAAAAAGCTCTTTTCCTCGGCCCTGCCAATTATTGCTCCCTAAGAGATGGGACCTGGAGCCTGCGTCTCCTGCCAGACCTAATGGGATGGGTGGGCGTAATCAGGGAGAAGCAATCCAATATTGGCAGGAAGGATTTATAACTTACCAATCAAACTGCATTAAAAATGTTGCAGCATAGAGTGCTTCTCTTCAAGACTTTAGCCAACTAATGTGATGTTTTCCAGAATGGTTTGTTTTATGCCCTTTCACCACCCAGTTCTTAGCCTCTCCCTAGTTCTTATCATCTGAGCACATTCAGTCTTTACTGGTCTTTTTAAAAGTTTTCTCACCTCCAGTACATTTTTTAATCCAAGTTTTGTTTTGAGGATATCCTGCCTTCCTCCAAACCTGCAAATTCCTCCCCCTTGGGTGTGGATGCTTTCATAGTAGCTATGTAAAGATTGGCATTGGCAGAACTGAATTTGCTGTTAGAGGACCATTCAGAATGAGGGCCTAGTATTTGCTAGGCCAAGAGTTTATTCTGTTGTGCTGATGGAATGACATTGCTTGGCTCTGTCGGCTTGGGAGGGGGAAACATAATCAAGGCTTTGAGTCCCTGGATTTCATTTGTGTTTCTCAGGTCAATGTTGTTGGGACATTCAATGTGATCCGTCTGATTGCAAGTGTGATGAGTGAAAATGAGCCAAACTCAGATGGACAGAGAGGCGTGATCATCAACACTGCCAGTGTGGCTGCCTATGACGGCCAGGTGAATCCTAAGCTTTCTTTAATAAGGGGAAGCTTCATTGGCAAAGGCCAGCAAGCCATAACTTAAATAGAATGTATATAGATGAACTACTGTACATGTCAATATCCTTAAAATACAGAAGCATTAAAGTATGGCTGTTTCAGGAACTGGATTTTGGGGAAGGGGGGTAAAGAGATCTTTGATCATATCAATATAGCAAGCATTTTTGTAACAGAAGTAAGTTATTTACCGATACTTTTGGAAACCCAATTAAGGGACCTTCTAGACCTCAAGAACAATAGAACAGTTGGGCTGCAGGGGAAAGAATGACATGGTTTATGCTCTTTGGTGTGGAGTGTCACCGTATCATGTGATTTAAAAATGCTGGCCTGCATTAAATTTACATTTGAAGTTAGATGGTCTCAGCACATACCCCTTACACTTCCGGTTCCCTGTGTTTCAATCAGACATGCTGGTACTTGCCATTTCCCTTCCCCCGGCTCTCTTTACCTCCAGCAACTTTATCTCAGTGCTGTTTGGGATTCCTATCAGAACCTTCTTTGTATGTTTCAAAACACTCTTAACATATGCTTTTAGTAAGTGGAGATGTTTTGTTATATCGCCTTGAGGGAACTAAGCCCTTCTTGTTTCACTATGCAGGTGGGACAGGCCGCCTATTCGGCTTCCAAAGGAGGCATTGTATCAATGACACTGCCCATCGCCCGAGATCTTGCCCCTCTTGGAGTCCGTGTTGTTACCATTGCACCAGGTAACCAAACCCACCCTGAATCTGGACCCTGGGAGAGAAAAGTAGATTTTTCAAAAGGTGCTTAAGCCTGGAATGGCTTGACCTCACCCTTCCTCAAATACTCAAGCCTTATGATTCTATAATAGGTTGTGCAAACTTATATTTTCATAATCAATTTTGAATGTTTCATTAATTTACATTATTTTGTTGGCTCCTCAGTAATCTCTATCAGATCTCAGACTTCAACTGTGCATGACACAAGATTATTAGGAAACTGAACTCCGTATTTAATTCCTGGAGCACATAGAATGTTGTGGCATACTGCTTAATAGCTGTGAAAACGTGTGGCACCAGGAGGAGCAGCTCTGAGCAGCTTTTGTTTTTTCCAGGCCTCTTTGAGACACCTCTACTGGGATCGCTTCCTGAAAAAGTTCGAACATTCCTGGCACGACAGGTGCCCTTCCCAAGTCGCCTTGGGGCTCCAGAAGAATTTGCTCACCTGGTACAATGCATAGCAGAGAATCCTATGCTAAACGGTGAAGTGATACGGCTTGACGGGGCTATCCGAATGCAGCCCTGAGCTGTAGCCTGGGCCTGCAAGAACAAGAAAGCTTGTTCTCCTTGGACCATAATCACAGTACTGAAATCTAGGTCAGCAAAAGAAATGATTAACATCTGGTTCTAAATAAATAAATGATTAGATACTGTTCTTTTCTTTCACTTGCTGTACAGGCTTCACCATTACTAGTAACCATACTGAAAACCATACTTTCTAGGCATCTCCAGCCTCTTTTAACAGCTCTTCCACAGTCTTCCCTCTAATTCTGAAATACAGAGGCAATTGTTTCTGGCTAAGGTCACATATTGTGATAATTGTGTTTCTGGCTAAGGTCACAAATTGTGATAATCATGATTTACCATGGTTTATTGAATCAACCACAAATGGCTGGGTATGGACAAAAGGCTATGCTGTAAACCATGGTTTGAAACAGTTGCTGGTTTCAACAATCACCTTATGACTTTAACACATAAGTCTGTTGGGGTCAAGATGTATATCTCTCCTCTCACTGCATTTCTGTATTTTGGTCAACCTGGCCCTCACCATTCTCTTTGATGTAATGATTTCTTTTTTCCTGGCATACTTTCCAATGCATTTCAAACCTTCTCCTCTCACTGCATTTCTGTATTTTTGGCAACTCTGACCCACCTGGCCCTCACCATACTCTGGTGTATGATTTTTTTTTTCCTGGCATACTTTCTAATGCATTTTAAACTAGGGAACGAGATGGAAAGTAATGTAAATCACCATTTTTACACAGTGTAAAAATCACAGAGATTAAAAGCAGTGTTTAATAAATGCAATTTTCAGGGCTGTGTATGTTGTGAAAGTGATTTAGAACAAAAAACCTTTGGACTTAGTGTAAGCCCAGTACTTCTCTGCTATTCATTAAAGCAGCCTGAAAATTTTCATGGGAGCCTGAAAAAAAGCTGGTGGAGTACATTCTTTTTTCATGCTTGTGCTGAAGCCTAAAAACAGGCTGCTTTAATGAAGAGCAAAGAAAGGCCAGGTTCAATATGCTTCTTTTGAGTCATTTTCAAAGTGGTCACATTTGGGCCCCATTTTTCAGTCTTTCTGAGGTGGGCCCCCAAATGCCATTTAAAAGTTATATGGCAACAAAAGTTGCACACATCTGATTTAGTTAGGTGTATGAATCCATGGCTTTTGGTCCTTACGACTTTCCTCAGCTGTGACTCTGCTTGTGTATTTTTCATTTCTTTCACAAAGACGACGAAGTATCTCAAGATAACCAAATGCAAAGGAAACCTGGAAAGAGGGGCCAGAGAAGGAAGAACAGCAGTTGGAAGGATAGTTCCAAAACATGAGTATGGCAGGAAAATTCCAACCTTGGTTCAGCTGTGTCCCCCTTTTGAAACAAAACTCCAGTCCAATCAGGGAAGTTTCACATCAGGTTCTGTTGTTTTTCTCTGAAAAGAGTGAATGGTGGCTACCCTGGGACACAGTGACTTGCTGGGTTCCAGACTTCACCTTATTTTCATATACAGGTAATCCTCGCTTACCAACTGCCTTGTTCAGCAACTGTTTGAAGTTACAACAGTGCTGAAAAAATAACTACAACCAATGCCAGCATTTACAACCTTCAGTGTCCCTCAGTCAAGTGATGACCATTGCAGCCAGTACATGTCCTGTGCCTGTTGTTTTTCTCCCCCCACCCTTGCAGAGCAGAGAGATTGGAGAGGAAGGGAGTATAAGAGAGTAAACAGGCACACAATGGGGAATATACTTGCAGCTGCCGCCACTGCATTCCTTTCAATGTGTGTTCCCCATTATGTGCCTGCTTATTCTCTTGTAATCCCTTCCTCTCCAATGAATGTATATACACAGATTAATTCCCTTCTCCCTAATTATCCCAGCACAGGGGTGTGCATTCCAAAGGGGAGGCAAACAAGGTGTGAAACTGATTAGTCTTGTCAGTTTTGAGCTGGCTATCCAGGCAAAGGGTGGGGAGTGGGGAAAAGGAAAACACTTTCTTGGTCACATGATTTCTCACTTAACAACAGCTGCCAGTCCCAACTGTGGTCGCTGAATGAGGACTACCTGTACCATAAGCACAAGCCTGGATGACAAAACATGCATCATCATGCAAATGCTACAATTTGTATCCTGCAAGCTGATACATAAGTGTACAATTGCATCATTTACAGGATAATGTCACCACACAGATGTCATTTCAGCTTGTTGCAGATGCAGCTAAATGTGAACCAAGTACTTAACCCAGGATATCCCCATGTGCGATCAAGAAGTGTATCCTGTGAAATGCTAAGCTAGCTTTGATCATATGGTGGCTCTTCTTTGTCATACAGATGACAAACTATTATGAATGAAATCGCTAGCCTATAGGTACTAGAAGGTCCGATTATCTGAAAATAGGATATATCCATACAGGCTTTTGTGTAATGTTTCATACACCAAACATCTAATCCAAAAAGTACCCCTCCCCAAATTTCAAAGCTCTATGTGATTCCAGGCTAGGTTTCATTCCTGGTATCCCTCTTTACAGCCACTAGAGGGCTTCCTCTTTCCGTAAGAAAATCTACTTTACTTTGCATACCAAAACTCCTGCCAGCTGCATCTTCCATCAGCGGCTGCTAGTGTTAAACTGTAAATGATAGTGGGCTGTAGGTGCGTTGGTGTAGACTTCTTTCTCCAGAAACTGGAAGCTGCCAAAGAAAGTAATGTAGTCAGATTATATTGAGAAGATTATCACCTCATTTGTCCCAGGGCTGAAATCCTTCAATGACAGAATTTAATCTAGGAATATATAAAAAACAGACATGTGTCTAATGCATATCTATGACTGAGTAACTACAGATAGCATCTTGGTGCCTCTGGGTTTCTGGCTGAGAAGGTGATTTTTTTAGGCAGTTATGAGCAGCATATTTAATTCAAAATGCAGCCCTGAAGACACTATCAGAAAGGTGTGAAAATGAGTGTTTCACTTCCTGATCTGCCTGTTCTTTCAGCACTCAGCTTTCTGTCTGCAGCTTAATTCTGCAGCCAAATTATAATTACAATTATTATTATTAATTAAATCTGTATATCTTCCAACGAGCCTAGCTGGCTCACAAGTAAACATCATTAGTAAAACAATATAGCAGTAAACCAGAAGAAAGAAAAGAGCAAACCAGTCAGGAAGAAAAACAAACCCACACAACCTAATGGGGCCTTTAATCATGCTTGTGGAAGGCCTGGGGGAAGAGGCAGGTCTTCAAGGCCCTTTGAAGCATCAGCGAGGGGCCATTTGGATCTTGGGGAAGCTCATTCCAGAGGGCAGGTGCTACATAGAAAAGGCATGCTTCTGGGGACCTTTCAGATGGTACTGTTTAACTGAGGGAACCTAGAGCATGCCAAATAGTAGTTCAGGGACATTCCTCTGTGCTTGCAGAGCTCCCATCCTTTGACATTTTGTCCATTTCCCATTCTGTTGCCCTCTGGGCTATCTTGAATCCAAGAAAGTGCCTCTCACATTCCTGTGTCATGTTTCAACCCTGGACTCCTTACTTGGATTTCTGTGCATCAGCCAGTTCCTGGTTGTAAGCATCCAGGCTCTTCCTCAGCTCCACACGGAAATTCTGCTCCTGCTCCTCCATCTGCATGGCCGTATGAGCTGCCAGTTCCCTTTGTCTGTCCCACTCAGCAACCCGTTGCCTTTCCTCTTGCCGAAGTTTCTGCAGGGGAGAAAGGCACATGAAATGTGAGAATAGATCCATGGGAAGGGGAGGTGTGCAATCCCTGCTTCAAAACTTCAGCATACCACAAACTGAAACAGAAGACAAAAGCAAGCTATTGCACTCTCAACTTCTATCCCATATTGCTGCATGTTTATATGGAGCTCACACAGACCTACTGAACTTTTGTAAGGATTCACTGAGATACAGTATGCTTGAAGCACTTTCCAGCACTTGAAACTGCAAAACACAGCTGGAAGAATGTTAGCTGGCTTCCAGGTTTTGTCACCAACCCCTCTTGTATAATTCACCAGCATGGGCAGAAGGAATATACTGATGCAAGGCTCAGGGAAAGGAAAAAATAATATACTCTAAATGAGGACCTTTCCAAAATAATCATCTTTCCAAGAAACAACTGTAAGGAAAAATATTTGTTACTGCAGAGAAACTGTTGTTAGGATCATCTACCTCCATCCTTTTTCCTCAACTGTAAACTCACCGGACCAGCAGACTGCATGTTTCAAGATGTTGTCTACAGCAGTGTTTCTCAGTCTTGGCAACTTTAAGATGTGTAGACTTTAATTCCCAGAATTGCCCAGCCAGTCCACACATCTTAAAATGGACAGAGGACACAATTTGTCCTGAAATAAGGATGAGAAAATTGCAACTCCATGATCACTTAAACCCCTCAGCCCAAATTCAAAGCCTCCCTACAAGCAACTCATATGTCTGGCAGAAGCTGTCTCCCCTCCCAAGGCAACCTGGAAGAAGGAAAACAAAGGAATAGTCATGCCCATTAAGGCCTTACAATGCAATCTCTGAGAGTGTTTATGGGGTAATGACAGAACAAGGTTCTCCGGTCTTGCATTGATAATGAATTGTACCTAGGGTACACTCCAGTCCAGGCTAACACAAATAACCACTTTGTGGGAGCCTCACCCATTACCCGTTTTGTATGTTTCACATGCCATTCCTCCACAGGAACTCCCAAGACCTAACTCTGGAGCAGAGTGACCAATTCTCTGCTGCTTTCCCCTCCTTATCCCTCACCTGGTTTTCTCTGCACTGTTCTTTCTGCATTTTCCACACAGCCTGCAGCTGCTCCAGGCTCATCCCCTTCCAGCGGTCAGTAATCACACGGTGTGACCCCAACAAGCTTTTAGCAGTATCAGGGTCTTCCGACAGGAAGTTGCCAGTCAGGTGGTTGTGAATCTCAACATAGTTGTCGTCCTGCTCACGCTGCTGAGATAGACGCTGCTGCTCTGCAACCTCTGCAGCCTGGCTCGGGGGCAAAAGAAAGGAGGTGAGCTCTGAAGGGCTGGCATTCCCTTCACCTGCACTTTAGTCAGCTGTTGGGGCACAGCAGGGGCATGAAATCTTCAAACTTTCACCTTTCTCGAGGCAGTACTCTGGGTCATGGAATAGAGAAATGGCTATGAGAATCCAAAGGTACCTGTGCTCGATTAAAGTCTGCTATTGCCATGGCTTTAGCCCTGCGACATTCTTCCTCTAATCGTGCCAGCTCCATAGCTCGCAAATCCAGCTCAATTCTTTTTTTGCCTTCCAGATTATCTGCAAGGTTGGGGGGGGGAGGGTAAAATAGTGCAATAGAAGACCGTCTATACAAGATATACCCCACTTGATTACATCCTGGAGTGAATCAGAGATGTGGATATTGTTCTTTTCCTCTTATACCCAAATAGTTTTTGGCAGGGCCAACACAGGGAGCAGGTGGATGTTATTTTTCTTAGTAGCAGCTGCAGAGCAACTTTCCCTTTGTTGAGCTCTTGAGGATGTGTAGTTCATCCCAAGAACACCTCTGCCTCTTGTTTCCCAGTACAAACATACCTGCGTATTTTTGATCACCAAGTTCCTTATTCCGTTCAGTTCTCTGCTCCTCCAATGCATGCTTGTTCTGCTCCTTCTGCAGTTTGAGGCGGGCAGCCGAATTCAGATCCTCACCAGCAAAGCACTGCATGCTAGAAGGACCACAGCGCGGGTCATCATCGCTCACGCGGGCCGGCTGCCCTTTGCGCACCACCTCGGGGTCATGGATGTCCCACTCCCGCCGCATAAAAGGCTGCTGCTCCCGCTCACGGAACTCCACCAGATCCTGGGACAACCGTTTCTTCCGCTGGTGCTCCTCTTCCTCCAACATCTGTGCAACCTTGTCACATTGCACCCTGTCTGCATCTGTACAAAAAAGCTTAGGACAGTGCTAAGCACTGCACAATTTGTGCCACATGCCCATCTGAAATAAGATAGGATGTGCCTTCTGAGTGGGGAGGTGGGGTGGATACTCTGCCCCAAATTAATGAAAATTCAGTATCAAGAGAACCCAAACTGTGTGGAAAGGAAAAAGCACAAACCCCAAACATACTGAACCTGTTTGCCTGATGGCTCATTTTAAATAGTTTGGCAGCTATTATCTTTGGCTTCTATCACAGAATTTTTTCCTCAAGGATTGCATCTCTTGTATATGAGTTTTTAATAGTATACAGATGATCTCATTGCCAAAATTATTGCATCCAGTTTTCTATTACCTTTATAGATTTGTAGAAATTTTGGGCTTATAATGCAATTGTAGCAAGATCCTAACCAACTTGAATTGACAAGTTTTCACATATTACACTTACCTATGGTTAACTTATCAATAGGTTAATATTGGGTAAGTATAATTACCCAATTAGCCCAACAATATAAACCAATCACATTGGCTGGGTTCACACAACACCATAAGTCACACACAAAAAAAATCTTAACAAAGTTAAATTAATCAAGCTTAGTATGTTGAATAAATCCAGTCATAGTTTAGGTGTTCCAGGACTACTGTTCATCATCATTAAAAGCTTTCTTTATACAGTGTCTGCCTCTAATTGCTTCCTTTTCAATATAGTAATGGTGTTACTGATTGATCCTTTGTTAATGACTTCGTGTTTCCATGCAAAGGGTGACTTAGTTTACTCTTTATTACTCTGTCAGCTGCACTGACTTCCAGTTGCTTTCCAGGCCTAATTCAAAGGACGGGTTCAGAAAACACACTAAATTGCACTAAATCAAGCCATCACACTAATTCTGCATCCTGACATAGCATGACTGAATTCTGATTGCATTATTTCAAGCTGATTTTTTGCTGTATGTGGGGGTAAATGCTGAGAAAGATTTCTATCCCTTTCCCACACTTAACCTCATCCCCCCCTCCCCAAATTGCAGAAAATTTCACCCACACCTATTCCAATGACGGCACTATCTACAGAGTTTCCTGAGCTCCTCCAAAAGGTAGGGATGCTGACTACCACCACTCAGGAGTTGTTCATCCCTATGCTAAACCATAAACCATGATTTACAAATCACAGTGATAAAGCAAAACCATGCTGTATTAATTGGACCCTCACATTAAGTCATAATATGGTTTGTTTTGGTTTAGTATAATATGGTTAAATATAGTCATGTTAATTGGGGCTGATGGATTATGTTATGTGAAATTCAAACTCAACCTTATTTGTCCTTGCTGATCTTTACAGCCCTGAATGGTTGAGACCCAAGTATTTAAAGGATGTTTTTCCCTCTTGTCTACTTGTCAGGGCACTTGGAAATCTTTTTCCTGATAAATTGAAGTAGGGAGGTTGTTCCAAAAAAGGGCATTTCATCTTATGGCACCTCACCTGAGCAATTGCCACTTTAAGCAGGCTCCTCCATCCTTTCATTGCCTAATGCAGTGTTGTCCAAACTTGGCCACTTTAAGATGAGTGGACTTCAACTCCCCACATTCCCCCCCCCCCCTGGGCCGCCTTGGGGGTCTTGGGGGTTGAAAACTCACCTCCCTTAATAGGGGGAGTTTTTGAACACCCTGGCCCAAATT